GACTCTGTGTCTTCATATAGAGAACTGCTCTTGGACCCCAAACAACGAGGAAGTAAAGCCAAAGTCAACAAAACACAGACAGTGAGAGGGAATAAAGAGCAGAAAATGAAGATAAATGGAGATCTAAGGGCTTTAGAATGAATGTTGATGTTACGGGGCAGTGATCGAGTCATGTATATAAACATACACACGCTTATCCATCAGCCTGCAAACACACACACACGCACACACAGCCTCATTTCCTGTAATCCCTCGTCACCTGACCTCTGACCTTTGTGAGGGTGTTGACAGATTTAAGACCCCCGACTTCCTCCGTGTCTGTGTGATGTGCTTTGTGAAGGGGTCTCATTCCACAGTTGTGTAAAGACACTTTTAAAAAACGATTACATCAAACCAAGCACTAAAAATGTCATGAACATGATTTCTGCTTTCTTAAAATGTTTGTTTCACGTGGAGGGTTATCTCAAAATGTGACGACTAAAATATTTTTCATTGGGGGGAAATAACGTCACCCTTAATTCAGCCATAATAATAATTATGTTATTTTAATGAGCCTGTAATGTGAAACAGATGTGTCAGGTACAGATGTTTAGTACATGGAAGTAGAGTTGAATCCTCAATGTGTTAAAACTGTCAGTTGGTTTTCTATAATTATGTATTATTGTGCATTTTATTATGAGCCAATATATTTCTCAGTACACCTATGACCTGAATAACACTGATGACCAACTGTAGACTACAGATAATCTCTGTAAACCTCTGTTTTTAAAGGTGTGCAGGATTTAGTGGTATCCATCGGTGTAGTTGTAGATTACAACTCCATCGCTTCGCCTTCGACTTCAGAGTGCAAAGCAGAAACTATAGTGGCCGCAAAACATGCAAAAAAACGTGACAAACGGCCCTTTCTAGAGCCAGTGTTTGGTTTGAGTGTCGTGGGCTACTTTAGAAACATGCTGGTTTAACATGGTGGACTACGTGGAAGGCGACCTGCGGTGACCTTGCTCATTCTAAGGTAACAAAAACATAACAGTTGTTATTTCCAGGTGATTATACACTAATAAACCTATGAATATAGAGCCAGTACAGCCTCCTAAATGTTACACACGGAGCTTTAATGAGGATTCTCATTTGAGGTGGAAGGCTGTTTCACCTCTACACATGAGGAAGAGCTAATAATAGAAACACCAAACATTGGACTTTATTGGGAATATACAGATGCAAATTTGAACACGATGATGCGATAACAACCGCGTGACAACCTCAGCGTTTCCTATTCAGAGAAATGTGGTCGAAAGAGAACAGCAAATTAGCTTTAACTGGATGTACACTAACACATCTACTTCCTTTTATTTCTTCCTAAGATTCAAATTAGAGGAGCAGGAAGAGGGACGGTTGGTGCGGATGCAAATCATCAGAAGGAAACAGTCAAATCGATGCATGCTGAGCACTTTGACGTGACGTCGATGTCACAGAGATTAAAATGGAAGAACATCCGACGTGGCTGAACTTGTCTGATCGCCAAAGGAACTTTCAGTTCTGCA